GAGCGGGAGGTGGAGCGACGCGCGAGATACTGTGTTTATGTTTCGGGTCGCCCGTCGTCGCTCGCGCTCGCTGCCGCGCTCGCCGCTCGCGCCGCGCTCCCCGCTGCGCCTAGGTTTTTTCCCACCACGGTGTATCTCGCGCGTCGCTCCACCTCCCGTTCATCGATCGATTTTCTTAAATGCCTTCCGAGTCCGGCCTACCGTCTCCTGCATCCTCATTCGCTCAAACGTGTAAATTTATTACTCGATAACTATTGTTATTTTGTACTGCGGTACATGATATTTCTCCTTAGTTTAACCCAATCTACCACTATTTTCAAGGTGGCTACTTTTGCATCAGACACCCTGTATATGAAATGACTCGGGAAGACATCCCCAGCAACATATTTAAAAATAAAGCAAATCGGAGAGGAAGTCGCTTTTATGCATAATTACCGTATTTTTTATTAAGAACTTTTTGAGTTATTAAGGTTTGAAAGTTCCAACATTTTGACATAAATTACAAAATATCTTGTAAAATTGGCTTTCAGGCTTTCGCGGCTGTTGTCTTCTTTAGTCTTCATGGCTTCCGGATGGTAGCCGCGTCCGTTTGCAGTGTGGTGCCGACGTTTCGCAGGCGTTGCAGTCTGCTTCATCAGGGCTGGGAGACTCTGATACTGAGCTCCCTCGCGTTGCGCTCGTCCTTTTATACTCGTTCTTGGGGGAAGGGAGGGGGTAGTCAATTCACAATGGAGACCGAACAGAATTCCCAAATCCCCTTCCTGGATGTCCTGGTCCGAAGGAACGAAGACGGCACCCTAAGCCACAACGTCTACCGCAAACCAACGCACACGGACCGATACCTCCACCTCCACGCAAACAAAAATATCCAGAGTTACAACTCAAACAGAGCTTGATTAAAAATTCAAAATTGAATATGGTGGACATTTATCGATAATTAAAACTAACTAACATGTGTCAGAATATTAAAAGTTGAAGTGTTGAACTTGTAAAGAGTTGGTCAAAAAATTTTAATCAAGCTCTGTTTGAGTTGTAACTCTGGATATTCAAACGTTATTTATTGAGTTTTAAAATTTTTAATGACTAATCTTTTACATCTATTAAGTCTTAATTTTATTTTAATTTAATTTTAATTTTACAATTTTAATCTCTCATTTACATTTTATTTTGTTGACCAAATTTATTAACTTATTACAATTTTATAATTTTAACACAATTGCTAATTTATTATGACGTTTGACATGTTTAGACAAAATTTTAAATTTTGCGCCGTTTGTTTTTCGGTAAACGACGACACATGACCAATGTCTTGTTTACCACACTTATTTAAGTCGCACTCCGATATTGCTGTGTCACAGTCGTGTTAAATCCATTACAACGAATACATCTCAGTCGACGTGTCTCCAGTTCTCTTTATGTCAGGGAACATTTAGAGAAGAAGCATGAGACCATGATAGAAAAAGAAATTCTCAAACTACATATTTTAACGAGGTAACATTATCATCCACCAAATCTAACGAAGCTACCAATCTATTATAATACATTGTACTCACATCCTGTATTTGCTATCTTATTATAGTTATACTGAGGAAGACCCGAAACAGGGTCGAAACGTTTATATTAAAGAGAGAAAGTATATATAAATTTGTGAGAACCGTCATCTGTTCATTTGTTGGCTCGCATTGGCACTTTCCCCCGTTCCATACAATTTCTTTTTGAGAGCCTTCACAACATTGGAATATTTAATATAAAAGTAATATCACATATCAATTTCAGTCTTACTTTTTACAACAGATAAATCAAAAGCTCAGTCAAAAGTTCTATTCCAAAGTTGTGGCAACTTTGGCTCCATTAGAGTAATAACTGCACTTTTAAAAAATTACTTACTTTAGGTTCTTTTATATTATATACATATAACAGCTCTGGAACAACGTTTTCGATACTTTTGGTTTACAATTCAGCACTTTCAGACTTGAACTGCTGTAAATAGATTAAAGTATTTCCTTGGTATAACAATCTCTATTACCTTAGTGATCTACTTTGCAATACAATACGAAATGTCATGAATGTATAACCCTTATAAAATAATAGAACTATAAGTTAACTGAACCGAATTGGAAATCTCATATTGAAAACGAAAAGTATTTATGCTTTCTAAGTGCAATTATCCATAATCACTTAAAACAAAATGTCTGTTCGCGGCGAATGAACCCTAGTTCGTATTTGCCGGGTTACCGGCCGAGCGGCGTTGCCGCGGGACGGCGTAAGTGCTCGGCGGCGCCGGCCGCGCGTGCGCGGCGTGCGAGCGAGTGCGAACGGAAGCGAGCGCGGCGTGCGAGTCGCCGCTTCTGCAGCTTTCCTTCCGGTTGCCGAGTGCGGCCCGGGAGGGAGACCATTGTGAGTACGAGCCTGAGAGGAAACGGACGCGGATCAGCTCGGTCGAGGGCCACGGATGTGCGAAGGCAAGCGAGGTCGGATCCTGCACGAACGAGTCGCAGCCACAGGCGAGCCAGGCCCAAGAGAGAGTCGAGTGCGATCCGGGAGCCGGCGAGGAGCGATCGAGACTCGAGACAGGACGGGTGGAAAGGCCCGCGGCCACGGGCGGCTGAGCGGCCATCTTCTCCTGCGCAAGGATCGCAGAACGGGGACCCAGCTCAGGCGATCTCGCCTTTGCCTGGCGTCCGCCTGGAAGGAAAACCGGAACCCGCCAACGGGGAAGGCGACCGCCCTTCGGCGGTCGAGGGCGCCGATCCGGCCTGTGCGCCGGGAGGCGCGATTGCGAGCGAAGGAATTGAGACGAGGACAAGGTAATTGTGGGGCGTCCGCGGGGGAGGAGGGGGCGGCAACGGCCATTCGGGCCTTCCGCCACTGAACCTCGCGTGCGCGCCGTCTCGCTGTCGCGGTAGCTTGGGGAGTGCGAGATTGCTGCGTTTGTGGGTCTCGTCACTCTATTTCTCTTGCCCGTGTGCGGCACTTGGATATTGGACTGGGGACGGGACTGCCGCGTCTGCGGGTCTCGTCACTTGCGGGCCGCGTTCCCAGAGTGGACGCCTCATCTACGGCGAGGGGGTGCGGTGAGGGGCCCGCCGCATCGCCCTCCCATAGGCGTCGGTCCGCGGGCAACCCGCGGTCCGATCCTTCAGCCGGACAGCGGGACGACGGGCGTTCTTACGGGAACGGGACGACGGGTGCTTTCTTTGGGAAAGGGGGGTGTCGGCCGGCGATGGCGCACCACCATTCCGGGCCATCGCGGCCATTTTAGTCGCGCACAGCGACGGTTACCTCGCCCGGCGACAATCCGCGCGGTGCGATGCGTGTTCATGTTTGTGAGGAGGGGACGGCGTCGGATTGTAACGGCGTCCGCCATTTCGGGCTTCCGTAGCCATCTCGGTCTCGCGGAGAGACAGCTACCGCGCGTTGAGCCGGTATTCGATGTAAAGCGTGATACGATTGATGCGAATGGACATGTATATGTTTGGCTACTGCCTGCGCCCGCTACTGCTGCGGGCCAGGTACTGAGAGTAAATAAAGGATGCGCTTGCTCGGGCTTTTCCCTTGACTCGCAAGGGTTTTTATGCCTCAGCAAGTGGGTGTGTATCGCGGAAAATGTTGTGTTGTAATTGTATGTTCCTTGGAGAGACTGCATCCCGCTTCCTTATCTACGAACCCGCGGCGTTAATATATGAGACTTATGCGCGTACCGAACGCCCGAGGCGTTCCGATGACTTAAATTCAGCTAGGGCTTCGTCGAGGTGGGCGAAGCGATACCAACTCAAACAATGTCATTAGTAATCTTACATAAGGAAAATAAAATATAATGTTAATCTTATCGAAATGATTAACTTTGAGTACTTGGTAAGTTTGCAAATGAATTTGCAATATTTTCTAAAATTTTTAGAGTTGCATCTTGTCGAGCCATTAACTCATTATGATGTCTTTCTTTCATAGCCTCTCTTTCTTTAAAATTTTGTTCGTACATACTTAGGTGTTTCGTTAATTCACTTCTTTTTCTTTTATTCACCTTTTCCAGTTTTCTTTGTTGTAATCTCTTCATCGTCACTGCATGAATTTTCTTCAACCGATGATGTCTTGGTAGCACGTTGAATTCCTCGTAAAGAAGATGAAGTTTGCTCTGGCTGTACGTCAGGATCCTGACCAAATATTTCGTCCATTTCAAAGAAGTAATCGAATTTCATCGTACCTGCTCCACGGCTCTTTTGACTCATGTTATCTTTCTTTTCCATATACTTCTGTTTCAGATATTTAAATTTGTTTTTTATTTGGTCAGTTGTGTGCGTTGGTAACTTTTCAGCTATCATGTCCCATACTTTATCATTTCTCATTGTTGTGCTTTTAAATAACTGTTCATGGGTCTTATATAAGCTTATTAGCTCTATAATCTCATTTCGATTCCAAGAAGTTCTGCTTGCAGTGTTGTTGTTTTCTTGTTCACTATCCGTTATAAAGTCAGATTTTGAAGATTCCGTTTCGACTTGTATTCCAGTGTTTGAAAATAATGTAGCAGCTTGGGGAAAGGAAATAAACATTAATGTATTCCCTGTAACAATAAAACTATATGAAATTTTTAATATTTATAGTCATCCTCCTTTGTGTGCGAATCATGAACAAAAACATTTTTAGGTAATTGTGCATAAAAGCGACTT